GCCATGGACAGGCCGGGCTCACGGTGCCCTCTGCCAGGCTGCCCTCGGCCCTCTGTCCTTATATGCCTCCTGGTGAGTGCCCACGCTACGGTGTTACCAACCCCTCAGCCTTAAACCTCCAGCCTGGGAACTGAGGGCAGACCCGCTTCCCCGTCCTGCTCTTGGGATTTGGAGCGGGGGCAGGCAGGTAGGGGATGGCCAGTCAAGTCCCCGGAGGCACCGCTCGGTGTCCTGGAGGCTGGGGTGTGGTCCCGAAGCGTCCTAGCACCCCTTCACTCTGTGAGGACGGGTGACGGGGCTGTGTTTCACTGGCAGGAAAGTGAAGGGGTGTCAGGTGGTGAGTTTTTGTCTACAGGTCACATGATAGATTTTCTTTCTGTTGCATTTACCATATTGTTTTTATGAGTCTTTGTTTTCTTGTCTCAGAGATATCTTAAAATGTTAAGGTTGGAAGTGACTATTTACAGGTTATCTCTAGTGGTGGAGGTGGTTGAGGGGGAAGTGGAGAGAGTCAGAAGCCGGGGGGTTAGCCTAGCTCTGATGATCACTTTTGGGTGATTTCTTCCTCTTTCTGGCCCTTATTTCCTCATCTATAACAATTGGCACATATCAGTGGCTCTTACTCTTTTTGGATCTGTAGATTTTCTCGATTTGTGTGTATGTGTGTGTGTGTGTGTGTGAAAGTTCTGGATTTGTACACAAGGAAAATGTATAGATAAACAATGTTGCATTCATTCAGAATATTCATGGATTCCTTAAAACTAGATGGATTATAAATTCAGGTGGATTATAAACTAGGTGGATTATAAATTTAGAACCACTAGGTGGTTTTTGAGGCCCATTCTGCCTTAACACAGACCGTAAAGTCAAACATATTTGCTATGAAAATACTCCAGGACAAAAAAGAAAAAAGGCAGAATAAAATACAAAATAACTTGAAAGGATACATAAAATATTTTAAAAGGATGTGTAAATAGAAAAGGTATATAGTAAAAGACAAATAGGAAAATGTTGAAAGACTTAAAATTTATAATAAATCCTGCCCTGCCTGGCTGGTGTGGCTCAGTGGTTAGAACGTCAGCTTGCGCACCAAAGAGTGTCATGTTCAATTCCTGGTCAAGGGCACGTACCTGGGTTGCAGGTTCAATCCCCAGCCCCAGTTGGGGCACATGCAGGAGGCAACCAATCAATGTGTGTCTCACATTGGTGTTTTTTTCTCTCTCCCTCCCTCCCTCTCTCTCTTCCACTCTCCCTAAAAATCAATGGAAAGAATATCCTCTGGTTGCCCGGCCGGCATGGCTCAGGGGTTGAGCATCAGCCTAGGATCCAGGAGATCACGGTTCGATTCCTGGTCAGGGCACATGCCCGTGTTTCGGGCTCGATCCCCAGTAGGGGGCGTGCAGGAGGCAGCTGATCAATGACTCATCATTGATGTTTCTCTCTCTCCCTCCCCCTTCCTCTCTTTGAAATCAATAAAGACATATTAAAATATATATATACCCTCCAGTGAGGATTAACCAAAAAAAATTATAATAAATCCTTTTTCCCTTATAATGTCTCTATTAGGGAATATTGTGATATGTGTATTTTCCATCAATTTGCATTCATATACTGTCGCTTTCTAATATATTGTAGTCCATCCTTGGTTCCAAGTTGACCTTTCATGCTTCTGATACTTTGTTGATATGGTCCACAAACATTCCTCAAGCCCATACTCCCTGTCAGAGTTGTAAAGTGCTGGAAATACAGAAATAAATGAGACTGAAGAGCACATGCCCAATGGAGGAGACATGTAAACAACTATCTGTATCTCAGTGTGATCAGTGGTAAAACAGAAGGATATTTAGCAGCAATCCTGGCCTCTGCTCAATAGATGCCAATAGCATCTCTTCTCCAGTCATGACAATAAAAAATGTCTCCAGACATTGCCAGATGTCCCCTGGGAGGAGAAAATTGCCTTAAGAACCACTGGATTAAGTGAAACTGAATTGGTCCCACTATATCAATTCCTAGCCCTGATCATTGCAGTTCGAAGAGCCTGAATGGGAGGGAGGAGTCTTGGGTGCAAGTCTTGGTTCTGTTTCTGTATGTTCTGCCTCAGTTATCTATTAAATTAAGGGTTATCTTAGATAATGCTTGAGAGCACAGCTCTCAGTTTCAGTAGCACAGGTCACATTGCTTTAGAATTAGGCTACCTTTTCCACTACCCTGTCCACTGTTCCCAGCACATATATACACATGAATGGAGGTGAAATTAACTCCTCAAACATCAAGAGATATAAGGGCTTAGTATTTTGACTGAGTTCACATAGGAGTTTCAATACATTTTAGGTGAGTTTATATTCAGTCTTATTAGCTTTGTTGCACTGATAACCTGCTGGCTGGAATGCCCCAGATCTTCCCTTGGAATGGCCTTTTTGGTTGGGGGACAGGCCATTGCTCCTTTTGTTTAGAGTCTGTGCTGGAAGCCACCTTAGAGTCATGTAGTTGACCCCTTACAGTATTCTAGTATGTCCAGTTCTCTGCTAATAAGACTTAGCTCCTTCACAAGACTGCTTAGTCTTAACAGCATCTTGCTGGTGTATTAATTCACTAGTCTGCAAGTATTTATTGAGAACCTGCTGTGTGCCATGTACTGTGCTGAGGATACAGTGATGAGCAAAGCACAGTCCCTTTATTGAATTTGTGATTACAAATTATCTTTCCTATCTTGTTTGAACCCATGACAACTCTGAGGTAGGCAGCACGAGTGTCATAATCTCCAATTTCTAGATAAGGTTGATAGAAGGAGAGGCGGTAACTTGTCAAAGGCCACTGGCCTTTAGCAGTCCTGCGCTAGGATTTAAATTCTACCGTGTGCACATACTCACACGCACTAAAAGCTTTATCGAAAGAACTTTTTTTTTTCTTGCATGGTCACTGGTTTAGTTCACTAGTAGACTAGTATGTTGAATTGGTGGTTTGGTGGAGGTAGTGGGAGGGAGTGAGAAACCCAGCCCAGACAGGCCTCTAGTCAAACTGAAGCTGAAGACATAAAAATGCTGTTCAGGCCCTGCCAAGAAGTAGGAGCCAGGACTTAGGCGATAGCATAAAAGGAGTGGGAGCACAGAGGTTTATTTGAGCAAGGAAGGAGCCCTGGGCTGGGAGGCAGGAGAAACATGCTCTTGTTCAGCCTGGCTTAAGTCACAGTGGGATTCCTTGCAAGCTGCATCTGTCCCTGTTAGTGACTCCATTATATCCCCCAAGCAGAGAACCTGGAATGGAAGATGTTATCCAGTTCTTTTCATTTCTTCCTATTTTAATTGTTTATCATTAAAATAATAAGAAAAAAAATATTATTTTGAATGCCTTTTCCTCTCGGTGTTGTCCCTGCTGTCACCTTAGTCCAGGATCTTCAAGGTTTCCCTGGGTCACTGTAATGGCCTTCTAAGTAGACTGTCTCTGGTCATTCTGCATCCTGCTTCCCGGCACCCTACTCAGCTTCACTACATTAGTAACTCTGCTACTTAAAAACCTCCCAAAGTACCCTGTTGCTTGAGTACAAACTCCAAACCCCTAAGCTGGACCCTTTTCTTTATAGTTCTAGCCAGTTTTATTTCCTCTTGAGCTCATACCCACAGACTAAGACCCATGTAGACTGTATATCTCATCTATTCCTAAATACCTCTTGAGTTTGTACATATTACCACTTGCTTAGCGTTTCTCCCTCTCCTCTTGTAATCCTATGATTTTAGATCTAATTTAGATGGTACCTTCTCTTCGAAGCCTTTTTTTGCTCTCTCAGGTAGAGCCTTCCTCATGCCCCTCCCTCCAGCTCTCAGTTTAGTAGCATAGTTTGTATTGTTTTAGAATTAGGCCACCTTTTCCACTAGCCTACCTGGTGCCTGGCACATATACAAATGAGTAGAGGTAGAAGTAACTCCTCAAACATCAGTAGATGGAAGAATTTATCATTCATTATAATCTCCACAGAGTTATAATATTATTATATTTATTTTATATTATTTATTATATTGTTATATTAAATTTTATATTATATTTATTATATTATTATATATATTGCTTGAGCTGGCAGATAGTGAATTGTCATGTCACTGCTGACTTGTGCTTTTTCCCACCATTTAGATCCTGACAGCTTCTTTCCTGACATACCCCATGCTCAGGACCCTTAGCCTGCAGCTCCATTCAGCCATCACTGGCAGTTATGTCTCCGGCACTTACTCCATCGTCTTTGTCAACTGTCCCAACGAGCAAATTGCCAGAGATATTGCCAGGTATGGTAAGGGGGTTTAGGGGCTGCCCCAGGAGGCTCACAGAGCTACCAGGATGCTCCAGAGAGGCCACTTTTGGGCCCTTCTCTTGCTTTTGACAACCCTGTCCATCCAATGATGACCTACACAGCTGAATGATCCAATGGGTCCTTCTGCTGGGCCTGAAAATGTTGAGTGCATGTGGAGGCTTATAAGGAGTACGAGACCCAGGGGGATGTATGGCTTACCCAGGGTGTTCAGAGAACGGTGGAGTCATACCTGTTGAGAATCTAAGTCTCCTAATTCCTGGCCCATCTGTCTTTCTTTCTGGAGATAGTCTCTTTGCTTAGTCCCAGAGTAGTTCACTATGACAAGTAAGGAGGAGGAGATGACCATTCCACATATTTATAAAATTTCTAGAAGCAGCTTTGGTATGGTAGAAAGAACACTAGATTTGTAAGCAGAGCAGAGTTTGAATCTTGGCTCTACAACTTACTGTGTTAACTTGCGCAAGTCACTTTCCTTCTCTAAGCATTAGTTTTAAAATAGGATAATGTCACCTACCTCACAGGATTCTGAGGATTAAATGATATGACATATGTACAATCCTTACCCCAGTAACTTGAATGTAGTAGGTGCTCAATAAATGTTTATGGTATCTGAATCCCTCCTTCCATTTCTCTTTATAGATGCAGCTTTGAAGAGGGTTAGTGGGACTGGAGGGTAATGATTTGGCTCGTTGCTCCCTTTCGTTTTGCTCCACAACTCAGCATTCTCGAAGTTGATGATAGACTAGGTTATAGTGTTTTCAAATATTGAATCTGGTCTCTGGGAGCACACAGCCTCCAAATTGTTAGTCATAGGTTAACCTTGCATTTGATTCCATTTATCGTTCCTCCAACCAGAATGGGTATTTTTCCCTTGTTAACATTACTTTTGGAGAACAGCTCTTATCTAAAAGAACCTGTAATTACTCCAGAGATACAACCATAGTATTTAGCAGCCAGGAATTGAAATCCCTCCTGATGCTTCTGGTATACCCAGGGTGTGGACTGAGCTGTCTTTTCTCTGGACCTCTGGATCAGCCACTCTGGGTCCTGTGAAGGAACAACTTCAGCTGACATCTGTGAGGTTTGGTGTTGGGAGGAAAATAGTTCCAAAGCCTGGATTCTAACTGGTTGAAAGGCTAGTTCAGGTGAATGGATCAATATCAGCTTGGAGAGCAGCCTCCATTATCTTCTTGCCTCCACAGTTGTTGATGAGAAGCCCGGTGTTTATCAGGGTCTCATTCCTTTGTAGGAAATACTTTTTCTCTCTGATAATTCTTACGGTTTTTTGTTTATCTTAATGTTCCGCTATTAATTTATGAACTATTCTCTCTTTGTCTTTTTCTTAGAACTCTTATTAGATGTTGAATTTGTTCTCAATGACTGAACTTTTATATTTTTCTGTTCCTTTATTCTGCATGTGGGAGAATTTCTGAGCCCTTCCTTCTCTCTTATTTGTGTTTCATTTGCATCTATTTTGCTACTTAGCCCTTCTATTGAGTTTCATGTTTAAACGATTATAGTTTTCCTTTTCAGGATTTCTAATTGTTCTTTTATAACCAACTGCTCATGTTTCATAAATGTCTGATCTTATGATCTGGTTTTATTTTATGGGTGCAATAACCTTGCTTTATCTTTGTGTATATATTAATTATACTTATTTTAAAATTTTTTCCAGTTTCATTGCAATAGGATTGACATACAACATTGTGTAAGTTCAAGGTGTACAAATGATTTGATATACATGTATATATAGCAAAATAAGGTTAGTTAACACATCCATCTCTTCACACCAGTTACCTTTTTTGGGGGTGAGAACTTTTAAAATCTCTCAACAACTTTTAAGAATACATAACTATACTTATTTTATTGGTTTTGAATATTCTGCTAACCGGTCCTCTTACATAAATTCTTTTGTCTCTTGAATTTTTGTCTCTTTTGGTATTGACTTTCCTCAGATACTTTGTGATTCTTAATTGTGACCTCTCTCATCTTTTTAGCTATGCTGGTGGAGAGGGGTAGGAACTACTAAGGAATTGGTATAGCAGCACTGTTTTTAGTGTGTGGTTTGGGGGTCATTCTGCAGACTGGGGTGCCCCAGTAACTGGTCTTCTGGGCATGAATTCTGCCTTTTATCCTTGGCTGTCACCGGCTACTAGGACATTGTTTTGCCTTTTTTCCTAAAGTGCCTACACTTACTGCTCCTTCCTGGAGACAGACACCCCACTGTTGCTGCCTGGGCCGTAGAGATTTGGGACATCCACCTGTGTTGCAGTGGCAGTCCAGCAATTCACACTGATGGTTGCCTCCAGGTTCCTGCCTGCTCTGGGTCCCTTTGCCCCCAGATACAGACTGTTACCCATATCTTTGTGGGCCAGTCCCCTTTGTTCTCCCTGGCCTGTCTCAGGGCTGCCTTTTATTCTTTGGGGCTTCCTCATAGTTGCTGGTACATAAAGCATTGTCCTTACTGTGTTCTGACATGGCTAAGTAGTGTGTTCGGCGCAAGAAATTGAACTGCAGGTCTGAAGTGGAGTCTTTAGTGATGTGGCTAAGAGGCAGTGGATTTTTTTCCCTAGAGGTTTAACTCGCTTCCTGTGTTTGCATGCCACCTTCAGAACCAATAAAATGTAATTTCTCAGCAAATGATTGAGCGAGCGAGACTTGCAGCAGTTGCTTAACACATTTGTGTCATGTGCCTCTCCTTACAGTCAGGGATTACTTAGCTTCTGGAACTTTGCAAGGGAATGAGGTGCTGGTAACGCCACATTAAAGTGGAGCCTTAAAATAGAGAGCAGTGTTTAGCCTGGAACTCAAGGGAAGAGAAAGTAGGTCGGTTCTCTTGGCAGCAGCTGGAGGAAGGAGGGATCAGTGAGCAGGGCTCAAATGAGGTCTTTTTGGCAAAGTCCAAGCACTTCAGAGAACAGAGAGCGGCTCCCTCGGCTGCCTGAGACCTGAGAAAGGTTTGTCAGCACCTGTCTGATTCTGAGGGCCTGAGGTTTGGATGTTTGGGGACACTTCTTTGCATCAGTGACTTGGTGACTTGGTGGTGCTCCTGTTTCTATGACACCTGTACTAGTTCAAGCCCCTTTTTTTGTGTTCACCAGGGAGCTGCACCAGAATCTGAGATTATCAGACCAGGAATTCCAACCTGTGGTCTGTCAAAAAAACCCCAAAAACCTAGAGATCTGCAAAGGTGATGATTGTGTGCTTAGGGCTATGATAGAAACCTTTACAAAAGTGAAAAGAGCCTATATTTGCCAAAGACAAACACAAATTATAATGCTCTTTTTGCTTTTACTTGGAGTTGTATGGTCACATGGGTGTCTACCGATTAGAAGCAGCTAATGGCAGCCGATACGTGTCTGTGGGATAAAAGCAGAGGTGGCGCAGTGAAAGGAGTTCTTGGTGGCAGACGTGTTGGAAGCTACTGGTTGAACCTTTTCTCACTGTACAGCAGGAGAGTCAGGCTGAGTGAGGAGGACATGCCCATCTGGATATGTGCTTGAATACTTACTTCTGGAAGAAAGGACTTGCATAAGGTCACCCAGCCATCCTACCGCAGGGCCAGGAATAGGACCCAGGTCTTTTTGTTCTCTGTCCAGAGTTAATTCCCATTCCCTGGGCAGACTGGGCCTGTCCTTAAAGCTGCCCAGAGGAGGGGCGCTCTAAATGGTTATCTAGTTCCCAAGAACACCTGTCCCCTGTTCCTTCTCTTAAGGTCCTGGACACTTGCCCCTGTGACTGTCACTTCTTTGCTCTAGGGCTATCCTGGATAAGAAGCTGGCTGCCTCTGTGAACATCCTGCCCAAGGCATCCTCACTGTGAGTTTCGCTGTGGCCAGTGGAGGGTCAGGTCCTAGCTGGTGGAAGGGGTACTGACCTAATGGGGAATTGTGAGGCGTTTAATTAATCAACACTTCACTGTTGATTTGTATTCAAAGGAAATCAACCAATTAGCTTATGTCATCCATGAACAAAAGCAGAAATGTGCTGTGTATAGAGAAAGGAGGAAAAACCCTACAGTTTAGGAGCAGTGAGTCTTGTTTGTACATTCTTTGTTTAAATCAATTAGTTTGCTGTTATTAAAGATGCCAGACTGGGCATTCTATCCCTGAGTAAGCCAACTAGGGATATCAGAAAAAATAATTTCCATTGCTTTTAGATTCTTTGGAAAACAGAGCTTGGCATATGTGACGGGCTGTTTAGGTGCCTTGTCTGTCTTTCATTTCATTGACACCTTTATTTTAGTTAAGCCTGGTCTGCCCCATTTCTCTCATCAGAATAGCGTAGCATCACACTACAAGTTGTGCAGGATTTGTCTTGTGCCTTAATTACTCTGATCAGCCTGCTTCTCACCTCCTTCCCTCCTGGAAAGAGAGAGAGAATGAGAGAATGGGGTGGGCTGGGGGGAGGGTAGGTGGGGAAGGAAAAATACCTACTCTGAAGGTCAAACAGAAAAATGTTATGTAGTTAAGGCTCCCCACACTTGCCAACAATGTCAGTGGCTCACGTCATCTGTTGCTATGGCTCCCCAATTTGGCTGTGCTTCAGAGTCCTGACCTAGGTCTACTCAGTCAGTCTCCCCGATGGTGCAGCTTGGGTCTCTGGGTTTTTAAAGTTGTCTAGGTGTGATTCACATAAAGCCAGCCTGGGAAGCAATCTTGGGACCTGGAATAGAATCTCAGCCTAGCATTCCCTTCGTATGGCCTATAACTGATCCTTTTGCCACAGCTCCGTGAGACAGGGCCAGCGGCCTAGGACATCTTAGACTTCCCTGGTCAGTGTAGATATTCTCAGGCCAAATTTCTTTCCCTTCCCTTCACACGATGCTGTTCTCATACCCTTTTCTGAACATAATCACTGACTTTTAATTTTTGGACCTGTTTCCATACCTTGTAAGGCTCCCTTCTTCCCTGAAGCTTCCTGTGCTGCTTATTTATCCTTTCATGGGCCATTCCAAAGGATGGGGAGGGGCCTGGAAGCCATGAGTATAGAATGAGTGTTGAAGGAGCGGAGGTGCCCAGTTTGGAGGAGAGAAAACATAGGCGTTTCTGCAGGGCTCTCCTGAGATGGTTCTCCATATGGAACTTGGGGAAAACAACTGTGTGGCAGATGTTGGCACCATAAGGAAAACCACCTCATGTGCAGACCTTTAAGGTAGATGGACTTCTTCAAGAGATGGTGAGCCTGTCACCTCCAGGAATGTTCAGGCAGATGCTAGAAGCATGCATTAGCATGGTTGGACTACATATCCTGTAGTGTCTTGGCCAGTTCTAGGCTTTTTTATGTGGGTTTTGAAAATTTTTAAGGTTTCCACCTCAGTAAGTCACCTAACTGGGCCAGGTTTGACATTTCACTGGGCTTGTTTTGTGAGTACCATACTTTGGTATTGCTCTCTTCTCCAGGTACTTTTGGAATGGACTAATAGAAGAAGCCACTGAGATCCTGTTGGTGAGTGAGGATGGGGCAGGGGTGAGCCTTGATGGGGGAAGAGTGAAACCAAGGCCTTTTTCCCAGGTTCCACTGAAAAATTAGCAAAGATCAGCTGATTGAGGGTCTTGCCCCACATAGATGTCTTAGGTTCACTTGTGAGCTAGTGACAGGGCCTGGTGACCTGGAGGGGATGCTGTCTCCTAAATAGCCAGATGAATGAGCAGCTGCAGAGCTGGGCTGAGGCCCTAAAACAGCGTTGTTGTTTTTTCTTTTACAGTTAATAAAGACAAAGACTTCCAAGGTCCACATGCTGTCCAGCTATGTCAGGTAATGCTGACGTCTCTTCTCAGCCAGGAATGTTCTAGGGACTAAGTGAATGAGCTTGAAAAGCAGCAAACCTAGTCACAGACCTTCCCTATGACCCTGGACATGTGCCTGTCCCTCAGATTCTCCATATATAAAATGAGACGCTCGGATAAGTTAGTTTAAACCAGCAGTTCTCAAAATTGTGGTCTCAGGATCCCTTTTACACTTTTAAAAATTATAGAGGACCTAAAAGAGCGTTTTTTATGTGGGTTATATCAAAGTTTACTGTTAGAAATTAAAACTGAGAAATTTTTAAAAATTAAAATAATAAAACCATTAGCTATTAATGTTGTAAATAATGCATTTTTAAGGAAAGTAGCCATATTCGTTCCCCTCTCCCCCCAAGTCTGGCCTTGAGGGATAGATAGAGAGGCTTTTGATTGATGAACAGGAACAGGAACTTTCTAGGTGGAGGAGAGAATACAGAGGCATTGTGGTGGGGGTGCTTAGGGAAGGCACAGTGATGAGTGTGGGATAGTAATGAAGACAGTGGCTGACATGCAGAATGCACACAGTACCAGTCAGCGCACCCGGTGAGTGCTGATGGACTTGTCTCATTTAACCCTCTGCCATCCTGTCATGTAGGTGCTATTTTCATTCCCTCTTTTGTAGGGTCTTTAGAGAAGTTAGGTGATTCGTCCACAGTTACATAGCTAGTAAGGGGCAGGCTTAGAATTTGAACCCATGTCTGTGAGACTGTAAAGCCATCTGGCCCAACTCACCCCTCGTAGCAGGTGGGAAACATAGGCTGGGG